GAAGTGATTTCTTTCGGTTTGAAATTTTTCCGGCTAAAAAAAAGTAATTTCCCCGTCTGAGGAGTCATACTTACGCCCATAGACGTGTCTCCGACGGGGACGTCGTTTCCCAACGTTCAGCTGGAATGTTATCGAAAGATGACTCAGCTTTTTTATTTTATGTTTTATAATTCCGATTGGGGAGGCAAGACTAAGGCTTCCCCTTTACGTCTATCATTTTAGGAGATAATTGACCCTGGTCATAACCAAAGAAGCCTTGCGGCTAATTGTCCTACCCAGGCGATGCGGTTGCGCCTTTACAGGCGTGCCGGATGAATTTTTGGTCGTAATTTCAAGCCCATGGTAATGTAATGCCCGGGTGATAATGTATCTCGTTTCAGGTGGGCAGCAGTTCGGGGTACTCTGGCCTTGCTCGGCCATTTTTTTGTTTAGATCAAAAAAGCAACTAAAATTTATGTGCGTAACCCTGTCTTACAGAAATAATAGATTTAGCATGCTTTTGAATTCACTTTTTTTCTACCACAAGGTAGAATCGGGTCTTTTTTTCGCAGCGGCGGCAGCTTCGGACTGTATCATATCATTGTTTGTTTACAGTACAGTGTTTCGCAGGTCAACAGCATCTGTACAGGGAGCAAACATAAAATAAGGGAAAAACGCTATATGATAAAAGATAAACAATTAAAAATAGAATGAAAAAATCCTAAATGGATTGAGTACTACGATTCTCGAAATATCTAGTAAGATTGTTTGAAAATTACATATCCCAATGGATCAGGCAAGTCTGCAATCTGTTTTTCATCCCTTAGCCAAGGTTACAAAAGCTGTATTCGTTAGCATGAGGCCCAGGAGGCCAAACCCGAGCTACAGGTGACTGTCAGAAATTTCAGTAAAAACATGGTCGATTTTTAACACGCTTAGGAAGCCCTCAAAAGTTCCGAATAGTTCCTTCAAAAATTTCACGATATTCAAGAATATACCAAATTTACAATTGAGAATTTTAAACCTAAGGGATGAAACACAAGCTAAGGACTGGCCTTCATTCATGCCCATTGATCGATCCCTTATCTCTGACCCTCATACTTAAGCTCAGAAAAATAGCGCCCCTTACTGCCAGTAATATTTGGTAGAAAGTCATAATAGGAAAGAATGAAAAAAAAAGAAAAAAGTATTTTCGAGGATAATATTTTGGTATATTTCTAATGGTCACGCCCCTCACTACCAGTAATATTTTGGTATATTTTCGATGGTCACTCCCCTCACTACCAGTAATATTTTGGTATTTTCTCGATGGTCACTCCCCTCACTACCAGTAATATTTTGGCATATTTTCGATGGTCACTCCCCTCATTACCCGTAATATTTTAGTGTATTTTCGATGGTCACTCCTCTCACTACCAGTAATATTTTGGTATATTTTCGATGCTTATATTTTTGTATTTCCAATAATCCCCTTGGCCGTAAACAACATGTGTGCGTTTTACAAGAAGCAAATGTCAAGTGAGGTAAAGTGTGGCGACTCACTGCGCATTGCTTGTTGTGCTATAGTAGTAGTAGCAGCAGCAGCCGTAGCGAGGTCAACAGCAGGGAGGCTGAGGTTGCTTGGAATCGATGCTTGTTTGTTTGTGAGCCTAGCTCTTCTTATAGCTGCAACACATATAGTGGTGGTGTGCATGTCTGTTTCCCTCACAATTTCCCTCATTCGAATAAGTCCCCCCACTCACATTTCCCTCATCCGAATAGCCAGCCAGTCGCCTCGTCCCTGGAACGATGGGCTTACATAACCATATGGCCTGATTGAGCTTGCTTTCAGGACATGTGTGCCATTCAGTCCCAATTTTTATCCCCCAAACTGCTTGCTTGTTGTTCTCCCCCTCCCCCCTTTTCAAAGTGTCACATCAGATACGCACATCTGCTACCTCTTGCATCTCCTTGGACATACTCATTATCCTGGGTTGAATCAAAATATCCTGGTCTGCTATTATACGGGAAGAGTAGTCTCATTCGGAGGTGATTTATTATTTTTTCTATGCACAAT